GGGCGTGGTAGCGCACGCCTGTAGTTCCAGCTACTAGGAAGGCTGAGGCGGAAGGATCACTGGAGCCCGCAGGTCAAGGCTGTGGTGGCCGGGAGCGGCCACCGCACTCCAGTCTTGGTGACAGAGTGAGACTCCAACTCAAAAAAAAAGAAAGAAAAGGAAAGAAAAAGCAGAGAATGTGAAGAAATGAATGAATATGCTTAACTTTGTAAGTGAAAATGCCTGTATATCAAAATATATAATAAAAAAGAAAAGAGACATCATAGACTGGAATGAAAATATAGGACTTAGAATTCATATATTAGACAAAGGGATTTAAAGTCAGATTACATAAAGTACTCCTATAGATCAACAGGACAAAGAAAAACAACAACAAAAATGGAGACAAAAGACCTGATAGGCAACTCAGAGATGAAGATATTAGAATAGGTGATAAAAAATTCATGTTTGTATTCCTAACAGCGTAATGTTTAGTTTTACATATAATTAACTTTTGTATAAATTAAGTACTAAATGTATTCTCTTCTGTGACATGTATTTTTAAAACAGTTTTATGTTTTTGAGATTCATCCATGTGGTTGTAAATCTGAGTTAACCAGGGATCAAGTCATGTAGTGCCTGGTAGCCATTGCAAGAACTTAGATTTTCCTCTGAAAGAAAATGGGGAGTCACTGGAGGACTCTAAGCAAAGACTGACTCGATATGAGTTGCAATGTAAAAGAATCTGTCACATCACTGCTGTGTTAGGAAGAAACTAGGGGCAAGGTTGTAGAATCAAGAAGACACATTAAGGGGCTACTAAAAGTATTCCAAATATGAGAAAATCTTTTAATGGAGACAATGAGAAATAATCATATTTGGAGACATTTTTGAAAGCAGAGAGTTCGAGGAGTTCCTGATAGTTTGAATATGGGATATAAGAGAAAAGTATCAGGATTACTCTGAGAACTTTGGTCTAAACTGGAAGGACAGAGCTGTCCTTATTAAATGATAAGAAGAAAACTGTGGGTAGGATACCTTATAAGGGGAAGTCAGATTAGGAGTTCAGTTTTGAAGACAGTGAGTAGGCAGTTACTTAAATGAACGTGAAGTAGAGAGAGAAACCCTAAATTGGAAGTAGAAATTTGAAAATAATAAGCACATAAATAGTACTTAAAGTCACGGACAAGATTAGTAAGTAATAAACTGAAAAGAGAAAAAACTTAAAGGCTAAGCTCTATGTGCCTCAACAATAGGAGATCTGAGAAAATATATATGAAGTAAATCAAAGTCAGCTGGACCAGTGGGTAAAGACACAGCTTAAATGAATTCCAGTATATCATTAAAGAGGGAAATCTCTAAATCTGGTCAGACATCTCATCCACGTATGAACTGAGTTACAAATTGCACCCTGGTGAAAGCAAATTTATTATGATTCAGTGAAACTGAACTCCATTACTAGAAAAACTCAAGAGTCTGTTTATTACATTGATAGTATGTCGATAAATATTTACATGTGAAAGATACGTTTTGCAACTTATTAAGTAAAAAGACCTACAGTTATATACATATAAATGCTCACTGGACAATCACAACATGACTTTATTTATTTATTTATTTTTTTGAGTTGGAGTCTCACTCTGTCACCCAGACTGGAGTGCAGTGGCCGCTCCCGGCCACCGCAGCCTCGAC